TCAAGAAGAGGAAGATCTGTGCAATTAATTTTCATTCCAAAAAAAGTTAAAAACAAACCACTTGACTTTTTCCAAGTTCAAAGAAGTTTTGCTTCCAATCCAGGAAGCTTTCTCAATTTAAAATGTCTGGAGTAGCGTTTGAGTTCAGGGCTTATAGAGTGGCCCAAATAAAAGCCTTGTTAGGGCTTAACATGCAAATTGAACCGGAAAAACAGGTCCACCCCTTAGTAATGGGGAGTCGTTGAGGTCGTTATCGGCCTGAAAAAAACAATACCAGCTCGGAAAAGGGAGTTTTTAGGGTCGTTTTTGGCCTTGGTAAATCCGTCCACTAAAGCCAAACTTTGTACTATTTTTTGCCCTTTTCAGGGCAGATTTTCTAGTCGTTCGAGAATTGTTTGGATCGGGCCGAGTTACAGCCTCATCATGCATCCTGCGTCATGTAGTGTACAGGGATTAACAAGGGTCAATCAGCCCCTCGCGACGACCTCCTGATCAGGAAACATAAGATCGAGAGAAAATGAAACCCGTTTGAAATTCAGTCGGCCCCCATGAGGTGGTCGTGGGCAAATCCTGCTGTTGAAGCAGAGCTACCAGCATCTAAGAGCCGATTTACCTGAATCTCGAGCACTGCGCATGAGCAAACAAGGGAGTTCTTCTTCTTATAAGGCTGGAGTTTTACTTCCACAAAGCCACACAGAAGATAGAGGATTTTATTCAATTTTGGGGTTTTAACAACATTTTATGTGACGTGCCAGATGAAGGATGATTTTTAGCTGACACTTGTTTTATGTCAATTGTTTATATGTTTTGAATTGTGTAAATAAAGTGTTGTTAAAAGTCGAAAAAAGTCTTCTTCTAGACTGACGAATCCGACCAGCTCCATCTTTTGAAGCCAAGTCTGTCGTGTGGTGTTTTTGGCCGTCCAGTTTGAGCTGTAGCTGCGTGCAATGATTGGAAATATCGTACAGTGCATGCCCAGCTTAAGATGTGTAAATTAATCTTATATTTGTCAAAGACAGAAATAATTCCCTCTCTATATTTTGCATCTATAATCCTTTGTGGACTTTTTTGGTAAATCTAAATTTAGTTAGAGTAATTATGAGCAGTAAACATCTTATCTGCAGCATCTATCAAATACTCAATTAGTTCAGACATTTTGAAAGGTATTCGCCCAATTACTAAATTATTTCATCTCTGGAAAAGCAAGAGAAAGGGTATCCACAAACCTCTAATAGCTTGTGTTCCAAGTAACTGTTAGCTTGTACACTAATCTCTCATTCCTCAAACTGACTTGGTTCTGGCTGCTCTTTTTTGTGGAAATCAGATTATTCTTAAAACATGTAAATATCCAGTTAACTGCAATCAATCTCTCTGCAAAACCAAACAGATTTCTTTTTTATGCATTCAGACTAAAGCCACACTTCCTGAAACAATCTAGCTAATTAATGAAGTGGCTTAAAAAAGGTAACCTTTGAAATAAAGATAGGCACAAACTAAAGGTTGAAATACTAGCTTGACTTAAAAATGGAGAATTTACAATTCAAAATGAAAACTGCCTTCTTCTTGTTTACAAAACGTAAATAAACAGCGACTGCAAAGGGATGTACCACTGCTGCCTACATATGTTGGATCAGTTGGTGTGTGCAGTTGTTTTGCCTGCACCATCCTGAATGAAACATACTGTATAACGCTGGATTTCAGACCCTATTGTTATTGAAATAAAATGTAATTGAGCAGCTTAGCATGAAGAAAAAACAGCATGACAGGCTTCGTCTCAACAGGGATAGATTTAAAATAGAGAAAACCTAATTAGTTGTATTATTTAACGTGATTAATCTGTTTAATTTGTACCTCTAAATTTATTGCGAGGGATTCACACACATCCCGATGTGAGAAAATAGGCTAAGGCAGCTAAATCAGGGCTAAAATTAGATGAAAAGCATGCAGCCCCTCTACTGTCTGAATCCTCAGCAGGCTGACCTGATACATGGTGACACTAAAACGAATGCTTCATCTAGTTCAAATTTAACAACACAACCGTGAAACAAATGTTCTCCCTTCATTAACACCCCAGGCGGCCGTTTCTAGAGAATGGAAAGCTTAAATATTTAGGAAATATGACAACAAAACACAACTGTGGGTTTCAATAACTTTCCTTCAGCCACAACAACAACAACAACAACAACAACAACAACAACAACAACAGGGCGTGTAGCAAGCCTGGTTCCCTCTGTCGGCTCATCCAGGGTGAGCCAGACAAGAGTCACAGTGGCCTGAGTGACCTCCCTATAAATGGCTTCTTGGTTATGCAATGTAGGAGATCACACAGGGTTACTGACGGAGGAGAAGGAATTTATAGAGGGTGGGCAGTGAAAGAAGGCAGCAGGAGGAACACACTACCAAGTACAAACCAGATTATGACCGGTTCTAATTTCCTCTACCTCATACCAATCCATTCACCACTTTTTCACTCTAAGATTTATCAGTTTCCCACCATCTGTGGCTCCAGTGAAGATGTTCATTCCCACTGAAGTATTTTAAAGTGTGTCAAAAGATAACACTGGTGCAGATAAAGTATTTATTAGAGCACGGCTTCGTCCCTCAGTAGGAGTGCACCTATAAACATGTTGAGTCAGAGGACATGGCTGATAATCCCCAGGAGGAACTAGATCCGAGCAAGGTGGACGGAAGTTAGGATAAATGCCTGGTATCTTAGATCCTTTAACAGCATAAAAAAATACTAATTTTGTACATATTTGATTATTCTATTGGTAAAAATGCAGTCGTCCTCCCCTTTAACTGACCCAAACTATACATAGACACTTTAAACTAAACTAGAAAGAACAAAATCATTCTAGCATATGGACATCAAAGGAGGAGAAGTGTTGCCGAAGGCTTTCAAGATGCCGCCTGCTGACGCAACAGTGACTCACACAGCTGTCAACCAAAATCCAGTCGATGTTGCATGTTGAATAAATGGTACTTTTTGTAAACAAAGGTTAAATCTCCCATTCTTGTCCGGCATTTGTTTGTTATTTATGATGATTAAATGCAGAGAGGAGGATTTTTCTCAGGAAATGTAGGTTCATCAGAGCCAAAAGAGGATCGTCCACTATAATATTTAACGCACTACAGAAGAACCATTACAGTTTTATTTTAGGGCTATAGGGGTCTCTAAAAACAACAATTTAAAGCAAGCTAAAACATGGTGTTACAGACAGCAGAGTATGTATTACTAACTTTTAGTAAATCTTTTACACAAAGCTTGTTAGAGTGGAAGAACAAATTAATATTTAGATAAAGAAATGATAATGTTTTATTGTGAGCCTGTAGGGGGAGAAAACACAACTAACAGAGAGTGCTGTGCTTAATGAAAAGAAGTTTAAATCTGGTGTTCTAAGCAGGTGGTAACATCCTAGTGAGCCAAAATATCCTGTAATTAAAAGCAGGGAGTGTTTGTGAATAGTGATGGGAATCATAAACCGGTTCAGAACCGGTTCTGTGTGTTCCAGTTCCATGGCACCGTTTTGCAGCGCGTTTAATGATTCTCTTATTGATTCCAGGCAGCACCAGAGCCTAGCGCTGGGAAGCACGACTTACATCAAGTTTTTTTTATTTTTAATTTTTATGTAAGTTAGGCACACGGCATTCAGTAAGCAAGCACGATGTGACCAGGCGAAAGTCTAGAAAAGTAAAACCAAAAAAATTATGCCCCATCGGGGATTAACCCATTGAAAGTTTGGCTTCATTTTAATAGTGTGACAAGACGTCCTATTATTCCGGGAATGTCCGGGGGGATTTCAAAATCGTCTGGGATTCTGGTTGACTACAGTGCAGCACGTAATCAAAACAGGGAGCCGGGGTGGGGGACCTGACGTGGTAACTGTAGCCTGGACAACGGCGGTCCCGTGCTTTCCTGCGCCTGCCTTACCGGTCCCCAGCCCCCCTCCTCCGGGTGAGGACGGGCGGCTCATGGCTCTCTGCTGAGTTCGGTCCAAGTCAGCGGCCCATGAGTCGACAAAAGAACAAATAAAAACAAAAAAAAGAGTGTCCTCCTTTTCAAAAACCCAAATCAGGTCACCCTACATTTTAAGGACGAGAAAGATGGCAACAAGGCGCATTGCAATCATTGCAAAGTGGCAATTACAACCGCGGGAGGAAATACATCCAACATGCAGAAACACCTGCGCACACAACATGGCATACAATTTAACAAATGCCGTGTTCTTGATGCCTTCCAGACAGAAGCTAAAGTTACAACCAGCATGGAAGGAAACTCTGGTGGTAAGTAGCTAGTTTTACATCACTGGCTGTACTTAATGTGGTTCCTAGTAAACCATAAGCCATTTCTGGAAATAAACCAATTCCTGCCTCTTTGGCCTTTCTTGTTAATCCAGCCATTCATTGCTAGCATGTTTAATTAGAACTACTGGTAGCTGGAATTCTTACATGATTCTAGCTATTGCAATGGATGTAACGAAACATGCTACGAAGTTGCTCCACAGTTAAGAGAGCGAGAGAAAGGTGATGCTCGTTTATCTAAATCAGGGGGAGATTAGTTTATTTCCTGAAATAGTACAGTAATGCTTTTTCATTAAACCATTTAGATGACTGTGACGAGAATCGATAAGGAATCGAATAGTTTCACAGAATTGAAAAGAGAATCGATAAGGAATCGAACCGTTTCACAGAATCGATAAGGAATCGAATAGTTTCACAGAATCGATAAGGGAATCAGAATCGTGAAAATCTTATCAATTCCCAACTCTATTTATGGAGTTATGCTTTGTGTACAGAAATGTCCCAGTTCCATTTTAAGTCTTTAGGGGGAGCCAAAACAAACATTCTTCTTTGATAAATTAAGGCAAAGGAGTTAAAACGCTGTAAAGTGTGACTCCAAATCTTTTTTTTTTTGGGGCTCTAAAACATCAGAAATCACTAAAGGAGAATATTTTTAACAGAAATGGAAGAAACAAAAGGAGTCAGTCAAAGTGACTCACCTATCTGCAGCAGCACAGGTGTCACCAGTGCCGTCTCCATGGCGTAGCAAAACTCTCTCCCAAACATCACTGCGCCGTGCATCACCCATCTCTTTAAGGGAATGCCTTCAATGGATCCCTCGCTGGCCGACTCCTCCCCTCCTTGGCCTCCTCCTTCACCCCCCAATCCATCCGTCTCGCCGCCTGCTCCCCCTTTCTCATCCTCCTGCCCTGATGCGGTGGATTTTTTGGCGCCCATCCCACCACCGAGAGATCCGACCTGCATAGCGTCAGCCTCTGTGTTCTGTGGCGGCATGGCGGAGGTCATGCAAGCAACAAGAAAACTCTCCTCTAACACACTAAAAAAAAAACTATGAATACTCTGCAAGTCTGAGGATAAACTGTAGCTGATTTAAAGTCTAGCACTAACTTTCTTAAAGCAGTTCAATTAAATCTTTTCCTGTTACAAAATGCAACCAGTGGAAGTAACTGGCCTGAATATAGTTACCTGTTCACTTATTAAAATAGCCAGAAGAAAAATGCCTACGAATATTAAAATAATCCAGAATAAACTATAATCTAACAAGAATAAAAATGTCAAGATCTAGAGAGGGAAAAGTCTAAACTAAATCTGCAATAACTTGTTCCCCATGCAAGTTGTCCTCCAAAAGAAAAAAAAAAAAATAATCACTGCAACTTCATATCTAATCCTCCTTGTTTTCCACCCAGAGTTGAAAAATGCAAATCAGCTTTCCGAGGCTTGTGCACAATCCCCCAAAAATAGGTGAGCAGTTGTATTTCACAGGAAGAGTGAGTGGTACATTCCAACAGCGGCTCTGTGCATGTCCTTCTTAGTTTGCACGGAAGGTGTGCAAGATACTGCTTGAATTTTTTATTTGGTTTGTTGGTATGACATTGATTGCATGTGTTGCTTATGTCTGAAAGTGTTTGTGAGTGGGTGTGAATGTGTGTGTGTGTGTGAGTGTGTGTGTGGGTGCATAGGGGGCTTATGGCTTTTTTGTCATTGAGGTTTCCTACTTTTTTTTTTGTTTACTGTCTATTACAAGCAGTAAAAATCCATATAGAAGACCATTCAGTGAGTTCCAGAGTCATTTTGTGTTTGGGAGGCTGGATGGAGCGCTGGGTGATGATGTGGGAGCGGGTGAGCAACAGGTTGCAGTGGCAGGGGGAAGGAGGGCGGGTGGCGACGGTGGGCGGAGCTCCTGTAAAAATCCCCATCGATTGGCTGATTAATCTGGAGGGAGAAGCACAGAGCAGAACATTAGATACGCAGCTGCAGAAAGTCAATACTTTAAGCATGCCGATAAAGTATGGTGCAGTGCCTTACGTTTAGTCCTAAACTATAATGCGAGACCAAAGGATATAATGCAATATATAACAGTAGGATTTTATCGCATAAAATACACGTATAACTGTGCAACTACTGTGATATAATGAAATGGCTTAAAATGTATGCAATTTTATCCCCTCTAATTTTTATTTTTTGGTCAAATTTTAACACAAACCTATATAAAACCCGATATTATACATATTCATTGGTATAATAAAGCTTACTTATTTGAAATATGTAATCCTAAAGTTATGCATTTAGTGTTATAAAGTATACTTACCTAAAGTTGATACTAAATCATTTATTTGAAATACAAAATGTTTGTGGTTTGAAGGTAACCCTAATTATCATACAATTCAAAGAATAAACTATGCATTTAAAACTGATACATTAACAGTGATTTTAGGTGAATATGTTACCAATTCTAAATAAATAAATCTGATAATTGTGTATTTTAAAATAAATAAGCTATATTAAACTTATATTAATAATTTAGGGTTTATTAAAAAAATTCTTAAGATCAGATTTTTTTATGTAATTAAATAATATTCATATAAAAAATTAGGGTAAAATACTTTTGCAACTGATTAAATAAAACATATATACAAGAATAAAACACATTCATCTGAGGGGTGTGATGCCTGGAAAAACAGAACATGTCTCCTTTAACAAATGAACGATGCACTGTAAGACATACAGAAATCAAACCCCTAAGGTGAAGTTAAATGCATATAAATCCTACTGTATGCATACTTTTTGATATGGATATGAACTTAGAAAGTTACTTTCTGCGGTTATTAGCACACAAAACTTTACGATCATGAGGTAGAGCCTGAAAACACTATCCAACAAAATAAACAAAGCTAAAATGCTTACATAGGACAAATATACATAACATCACCACTTCCAAGCAGCAACCAACATATACTTGAAAATGTTTGAGTTGTTTGAAACACACATGCATGTGTTCTCTCCTGTAAAAGGAGTAATAGTACTTTTTTTTTTTTACATAATTGGTTTAAGCACATGATTCATTCTGGCAGACACTCGGACAGTCTTTAAAACCGGAAGGGAAGGATCAAAGAAAGCAACGTGCTACACAAACTGAAGCGTCCTTAGACTGAGCTACTGTTTCAAACAGAGGGCTTGTGTTTGTGGCCAAAATAAAACGACAGATATGAGCACAGAAGTGAAAATGAATAAATAAGTGAGGGAAGCGCCTCAGCTATTAATATGCTTCACAGAGAAGGCTAGGAAAAAATCCCTAATATTTGACAGGATTTTCATCAGGTGTTTTGGTCTCTGGGAGGAATCCCACAAAGAATGCATGTTTCATCACACACTAGCATCGCCATATGAGGTTTATTAGACTTCTAAGGGGAATACAGAAGTAAATTAGAGAAAGGGAGGGAAGGGATGGTTTGAACAGGTGGGCAGTGGGAGGAAAAGGAAATGATGTAGAGGTCAGACCGAACTGAGTCAGGCAGCGGAGGACAAATAAACCGAGAGATGAGATCCACAGATGGATAATGATGGAGCTCCCTCCCCATCATCTCTCTCCTCTCCATTATTCAGCATTCCCACTTGTCCTTATTAACATTTATAACTCTCTGAAGACACTCATTAATTTCTTAGTGCATATAAAAACAGAAGCTCCTCCCCGCCTGACCTCACGCACACGAGGTGATTACATAACATCCTGCACACTTCACAGGCTCATGTTCATATCAAGCAAAAACCTACTTAGTGTCTTCAAAATCCTCTTTAAATATATAAAAGATCATGGCATGGTGGAGACTGAACAAGCATGTCAGCGATGAGCCACTTTAATGTTCGGTTTATCAAGCGCGGAGTAAAGGGTTTTTTTCCCCTCACAAGGCGACTCTTCAGTTCTTCCACCTTAATCAAAGAAGAATCCGAGTCCAACATGGTAACTCAGGAAGAGCTGCACAGATTCACAGCTAAAAGAAGAGAGACAGAACACATATCAATCATGCACTCCAGAAATATACCCCTTTATGAGGAGCGGGGATAGGAAAACTATTAGAAATGTTTTAGCTGAACATTACCAGGAAGGTATCGGTTGTGATAAATGGCATTTTCCTTCCTTTGTAAGCCTCCAGTTCTCTCACTATCCTTTAGTATCCTGTAGACTTGCAACACAACAGGCTAAATCCATGACACTGATCCCAGACATCTGGAATATATTTGCTAAAAATCAGTGAATTCCAATCAGTCTAATTTCTTAATAATGGTGTTTTCATATTTGTCATGTATTTTACAGCCGCTATGTTTAACACGAGGAAGAAGGTGTTTTGCTCATACAGCTAATAACTGTCTGTCCTGCATGGTAAAGGCAGCATTATGCTATGGGGATGCCTTCCTTTGATGGTCAGGGCGCCTGTTTAAAGTTGATGAGTCGTTGTCCTTTCAGCTGGACAACCCTAAACATGCAAACAAAGTAATGTGCCAAAATGACCTAATCAAATCAAAATGTGCTACAAGGCTTGAAAAGTCATGTTCACTTTAAGTTTCTTATCTGCGTTCTAATTGTGTGGTATAAAACCCAGGCCATATGTGTGATTATTTCCTCTGACACTCATCTACGCCTCCTCCAGCAGGAAGTTAAAAAAAAAAGTATGAATTATAAGACTTGCACCCAAATATAACATGATGTTTTGTAGCACTTTTGGAGTGCTACAACACATTATTTTGGAGATAATTTATGCTAAAGAAGAAATCAGCAAAACACCAAAACAAATCATTCTTAAAAAGTCCGCCACTAAAACAGCTGGAAGGAGGAAGCTACTTTGGGAATTTAAATAAGAGACAATAAACACTTTGCGTAATTTAATGCTAGGCATCATTTTTTTTTTTTTTATTATTATTATTATGAAATCCGCCCTGTGTTTTAGCCATAGTTGTAAAACTGTTGCTCTGTTACAGTTTAAAAACAGCCAGCAGGTGATCAGATGTGTCTTAGACCACTTCTAATGAAACAATAACTTTGCAGGATGCAATGATTTGAAACCATAAGCAGCTTAAATGAAAATAAAGGTTCAGTTTTAGGTTGGGCGTGGTCCAAAAACTCTTGACATGATAAATCAAGAGCTTCAACATGTTTACAGGAGTCACAGCTTCAGTCGCTGCCAAGATGATGGTAAGTGGGAAGTCTAATTGGTACCTGGTGTGATCCCTCTGATTTGTTGCAACATTACACGACACGACATCAGAAAGAAAACAGTTTTTTCTTAAGCTACTTTTCAACAAAAAAAAAAATGGTGATAAAGATAAATAAAGATGGGCATAAGGAGCCAGATACGTCAGAAAATCATAACAAAACAGCAGCAATGTGTGTTTAAATGTTTTCTGTTCTAATTTCATTAGATTTTAATTTAATTATTTTTAAAATTCTGTATGTATTAATATAGCCCATTATGTTTTTATTTTTTTGTCTTTTATTTATTTTTCTTCTTTAAATCAATTATTTGCACACCGTTTTCATTAATTTATATTTCCTTAAATATATTTATTCAAAATGTGGATTTATTCTATATAACATTAACACCAATCAGTTTTTGTTTAAATGTGGTTAAGTTTTATTTATTGAGATTTCCTATTTGTTCTTTATTTTTTTCTATACCTTTTATATGAAACTAGATATTTAATGTTGATATTCCTTTTATACGGGGCAATTGTATTTTATTTTTCCATGAGACCCATTACACTGATGCTATGATGAATATGTGTATAAGTAATGGTTTTCTAAGATATTATTTCTTAATGCTTTCTTAATTTCTTAATAACATTTTTATTTGTTTCCTCTTTTCCCCTGTTTATGATTACATCCTTCAGGTAAAATACTTTTAGATCAATTCATCGGAGAAAACAAGGTTGATCTAATAATTGTGCTTTTAAAACTTACATGAATACTTATAACTTATATATAAATAACTTTTAAGATGGCATAACATATCTGAGTTGACAGCAAAACATTTAGTCTAAAGGTATTTTTATTTATCCCTTTGCAACATACCAAGAGAATGCATGTGCTTGTGATCAGATCCTAAAGGTGCAGAGACATGCACTAGTTACTCCCCTTGATTGCTTCCGTTAGCGTTAGAAATACTAGGATTTAAACGTCCATCTTTCTCTGTAACCGCATTGTCAAAATACAGCCTCACATGAGTCTCTGCTTCAAATCTGCAGAGGTGTAATGAAGTAAGGGTGCAGGGCACAAAGAAAAAAGAGCTGCAGAAGACAATAAAGGAATAAAAAAAACATGCCTGAAAATAAAGGTTCAGATAAGAGAGGTGAACCATGGCAGATTGTACATAAAGGAGATGACTGTAAAGTTCAAGGAGAGGAGCAATTTAAGAGTGTCGTCTCCTGCGTGTCTCAGATCAGCACCCCGTACAAACAGATCTATTTTTGTGAGTGTTTATTCTCATGCCTGAGCAGATTACCTGTCACACAGAGATGACATCAAGACAGGCTCAGACTCTTCGACTGCATGCAATATTGCAGTCATCTCTAAGCTTTCAGTTTCTTTTACACATTAAGGTGGAGACCTACAGATCCAAGCTATAGAGAGCAAAAATTATAGGTTTTAAAATGCAATTCTTCACACTATTTTTGTGAAAAATGTGTGAAAATGTGTGAAATGATCTATGAATGAGTTTAATTAGAGGAATCTTGAGGCCACGGGCACTGAAAACAAAATAGGTCATTTTAAGATGTAAAATGGCAAAAGAGAAAAGTTTTGGACCACAAGGAAATAACAGGATTTTCAGCTGTACTGTGGAAAAAATATAAAATTAACACAAAATCACATAAAGTGGAGAAAATGTCTTTGTCATAAACGCTCTTTTTATTCAAGCTTTTCCCCAACGTTTTCTTTCCAA